GAAAAAAAAAAAAACAATGGAATATTGAAATTTGCAGGCAAATGGATGGAACTAAAAGAAACCATTCTGAGCGAGGTAACCCAGTCACAAAAAGACAAACATTGTATGCACTCACTCATATATGAATTTTTCACATACAGTAAAGGATTAACAGCATTTTGCTGTTCTTAGCATGGTAGTATCTACATGGTATAAGATTAGTTTGGGGGCTGGGCGGTGGTCGTGCACGCCTTTAATCCTACCTAGCACTCAGGAGGCAGAGGCAGGTGAGTTCGAGGCCAGCCTGGTCTACAGAGCAAGTTCCAGGACAGGCTTCAAAGCAATACAGAGAAACCCTGTCTTGAACCCCTCCCCCTCCTCAAAAAAGATTAGGTTGGAAGGGATAGGGTTGGGGTAAGTAGAGAGGTAAGTGTTAGTTAACACTTCTGTGAATTATGTATGCAAGAAAAAAATCATTTCATTAAAAGACAAATTTAAAGATATGTTGGGCTCACCATTTTAGATTGTTTCTCATAAGTAACTATTCAGGGCAAACACAGGAGCTGCTGTCCTTGGGTCCACTATAGTTAAATAACAATGGTGTAAGGCTGGGGTGAGGATACTTTCCCATACTCACAATACTGATTTATTTATTTTTAACTGTCAGTAATAAGAAATAAATAAACAAGCCAGGGGGTGGTGGCATATGCCTTTAATCCCAGCACTTGGAAGGCAGAGGCAGGCCCATCTATGTGAGTTCAAGACCAGCCTGGTCTACAGAGTGAGTTCCAGGACAGCTAGGGCTATGCAGAGAAACCCTGTCTCAAAACAAACAAACAAGAAATAACAGCCCAAGTTTTGATACAATAAAAGACAAAGTGTGAAAACCTAGCAAAGTTCTGGCCCTTAGTCCACCAAGCCCCAGGATACATGAACACCTATACGATTACCTTCAGTCCTTTTGATAATGGCTTCTTCCTATAGTGGTTCAGTGTGAGGGCAATTCTCCTCATACATGTCTTTCCCAGAATGATGGTGCACCCATTCAGAGGGCAGGTGGGATGAGGCTGCCACTCTGCACTCCATTGCATGGACAAAGGTACACCTGTTTTTTTCCAAACAGATCAATGAATAGAATGCCTCTGCCCTTATCACTCTTGCTGTCTAGCTGTTCCTCCATCCATTAGATTTCGAGACTTTCTGCTGTGGACTGAGCACTATAGGGTTATTTATGATGTCTCAAGGGTGCACCCTGCTGGAAAATGTACTTTGTCAGATAGTTTACATTTGGAGTTAGAGAACTGTGATGAACCTGGGGATGAATTGCTGAATATATAGATAGCTCTGGGGGGAGAGTGAGGAGAGGAGAGAAGAGAATAAATGTGAATATGAAAGGAGTGTAATGGACCTGGATCTTCCTGGACTATGGTAAGTGAATAAGCTGACCCTAGGATCAGGTTTTGTTGTCTTCTATTTGACATCGGAGAGGTCTTAGGGGGCTCTAGCAGGGGAATACAGCTATTCTTACCCTTGACTGCAGACCGGTCCTCCTCCATTTGGGGAAGATCATTCTTTTTACTTTTGGCTGTGCATCAGAGGGATACATATGGAGGGGTGAGAGAGGAAGGGAACACTTGCCTAGTCAGCCATATTAGCCTAATCAAACCTGACAGTCAGTGGGGTGACAGATGTGGCAGCCAGTTCACTCTCACATCCTGTGGCATTTGCAATTCAGAATCATTAAAGGAACTCTTTTTTTGTTGCAGATTTTATTTATTTTAATTAGAAACAAGATTGTGTTACATGACAATCCCAGTGCCCTCTCCCTCCCCTCCTCCCCTACCACCTCACCCCCAACTAAAACCCTACCTATCACATAGCCTTTCTGCTCCCCCTGGATGGTGAGGCCTTCCATAGAGGGTCATCAGAGTCTATCATATCCTTTGGGATAGGTCGTAGGCCGACCCTCGTGTGTCTTGGCTCAGGGAGTATTCCTCTATGTGGAATGGGCTCCCAAAGTTCACAGCTATGCTAGGGATAAGTACTGAACTACTACAGGTTTGCCTGTAGGTTTCCAAGGTTTCCTCACTGAAACCCATGTTCCTGCGGTCTGGATCAGTCCCTTGCTGGTATCCCAGATATCAGTCTGGGGAGCAAGAGTTCCCCAATGTTCGGGTCAGCTGTTTCTGTGGGTTTCACCAGCCTGGTCTGGACCCCTTTGCTCTTCACTCGAAGGAACTCTTCAGTAGTCACTCTAGTAACTTCCCATATCAAAACCTCTCAATAGCGGTTTAAGAATGTAGTTCAGAATTTATGTATGTGTAGTCAAAAAATTCCAGTTCTTTCTGATTAACTCAGTGTTTGGGTACAGAATATAGGACTTCTTTTGATCTCTGGACAAATTTAATTCCCAAGAGGCCTGGCACTTGGAGTATTGTCCGCCCCATAAAACATTTTTGTTTACTATTAAAAGTCTTGAGACTTGAATTTAAAATTTCACATTTGAAATTATTTGCCTACAAATAATTTATGTACTCTGTAATCATAGAGAATTTCTATGAACTGAAAAAAATCTAAATTTATAGATGTAGGAAGTACTTAACAGTAAGAATAGCAATGGGATTATCATGATATGTGATATTTCTACTCAATTATGAGGTAACTAATTTTTTTTTTTTTTTTTTTGGTTTTTCGACATAGGGTTTCTCTTGGGCTTTGGGGGCTGTCCTGGAACTAACTCTTGTAGGCCAGGCTGGTCTAGAACTCCCAGAGATCCGCCTGCCTCTGCCTCCCAAGTGCTGGGATTAAAGGTGTGTGCCACCAACGCCCGGCTGATGTAACTAATTTTGATTTTGCATTTTCCTTTTAGTACTTTGCCCCCTCCATTTCTTTATTCTCTTACTTTTTCTGTCTCTTTCCATTCTCTCCTTTCCTCTATTACCTTTCTTTCAGAGTTTTTCAAATCCAAAAGTTCTCAGGGCTGGGAGGTTTGTTCCATTTATAAAATTGCTTTCTGTGTAAACACAGGGACCTGTGTTTGAATCTCTGGACCCCATGTAAAAGCCCATGGTGTGAGCATCTCTAATCTCAGAGCTCTTATGGACAGATGGGAATCAGAGATGAAGGATCCCCAGAAACTCAAGGGCTAGCTAGGCTGGTGTGTGCAATAGAACAAACCAACCCCAAACAATAGCACAGTCACCCTGTCTTACAGAAGAAGGCAAGGACCAGCACCAAGGTCCTTTGTGTGTGTGTGTGTGTGTGTGTGTGTGTGTGTGTGTTACACATGTATGCTCAATTTCACCCCCTGCCCCCTTCCTACTATCTCTGTTTCTCTCTGTGTGTCTCTCTCTTTCTGTCTTTGTCTGTCTGTCTCCCCCCCACACACACACACACTTCTCAGACCCTACTGCCTTTTAATGGAGACTACAGTTGATTTTAATCAGCTCCTTTGGTGGGCAGCCCTCCTTTACACAGTTCAGAAGCCCAACAACTCAAAACTAAACTGTATGAAATTGCTGGAGTTTGTTTTGTTTGCAAAACAAACGCAGTTTCACAAGACTTAACCTAACAAATTCTGGTGTCTGTTCTGCAGCCTTTCCTCCCAGGCACGGAGAGCTCAGTTGGACGTCAAAGCCTAATAAGAGCAGAGTGCTGTGCATGTAGTAGGTGTTCGGCATCTGCCAAATAAGCACATGCACATAAATGAACCAGCAAATGAAACAAGTACGTAAATAGGAGCTAAATTACATGGTACAGACTTGGTAATGGGACTGGTGGAATACATTAATCATACAAAGCAGCTTGGCAATTACTTAAAGCCTTTTAGAACAACATTCTGTTTTTAATTTAATTTCATTTTATTAACAAGAGATTGGCATTGCCTGTGGGAAAAAGTAGTCCTGGCATATCTCACTGTTGGCTCTTCGTTAGGGAATAAAAAATGGAAGCATTATTGCACTAAAGAGAGGGGAAAGACACTGTAGACCTAAAAGATAGAAAACTTCAGAGGCGGGTAGGGTTTCCATGAAGCAAGCTGCTTTCCACTTGGCAGTGGGGATTTGCTCCAGGGTGAGATGTGAAGTGGGAAAGTCCTGGGATTTTTCCCTCTTCCATGTGAACCCAGAGTTGCTCTTTTTCCTATAGAAAACAAAAGGATGTTAAATCTTCATGTTGACTTGGATTTCAACTTTGGGCCTGTATACCCATGCATATGTTCTTCCCCCTAATATCTGTGTCATGATGAAGTACAGTTTCCAGGTACTGGGGCTAAGATGATGTTTAAGACTCAAGTATGGGGCTGGAGAGATGGCTTTGTGGTTAAGAGCACTGCCTGCTCTCCATAGGTCCTGAGTTCAGTTTCCAGTAACCACATGGTGTCTCATAACCTCCTGTTATGAGAGCTAGTGCCATCTTCTGGCCTGCAGGGACACATGCAGGAAGAACACTATATACACAATAAATAAGTTTGACTCGATATGAGGCACATTTCCAAACTAGAAGCAGCTGTAGCTGTTTAGCTTGTGTTGGGAGAGTCTAGGTAAAGGACTAACCAAGGGAAAGTATGGGGGGCACATAAGAAGAGAACATATCCCTAGGGAAATTAGAAAGCTTTCACTAAAGATATTAATTGACTTGGGTTCAGGATTGAATGCCTCCATCCTGTCTATAGATTAGAATAACCAGGAGACTAAAAGAAGAAAAGAAGGAAAGAAGAAAGGAAACAATAAAAGTGCAAAAGAAAGTAAGAGAAAGGGAGAGTAATATAGTAACTACAACTTGCTTTATATATATGTATATATATTTCTGTTTAAATAATATATAGAGCTATATGATGTTAAAATGGATCATGAAGCTGATTTGTCAACCTTCACTACTTAGTAAATAGTAATATATTTAGACTACATGTGATACAGCATGGGAGTACATTACAAAATAATTTAAGAGCTCATTTTGCATATTAACTAACCATGGGATGAATATTCTTGTCCTTAAAATATCAAAAGTAAGTTAATCTCACCTTAAATGAATTTTAGTTTACTGATTTCACAGGCAATTCCCTTAAATTTGGCTGGGCAGGAACACAGGCACTGTCCATCCAGAAGAATTGCTGTACCTCCATTTTGACATGGGTGGCATTTTTTAACACTGAATTCATCAATATAATCTTCAATAGCTCTTTCCAAATTTTGTTTCTTTATGTATGAATCTTTTAGTTTCAAAGGAACCAGATTATATATAGGGGACAGCTGTAAGAAAGAAAATATTCAACCTTATATCTTTTTCTACAGAGTAACTTGTAAAACACAGTTCACTCAGTCACCGACTCACAGATTCATTGATTTACTGGAAGCTTATTGGATGGTTATTATTGCCAGATACAATGTTAGCTTTCGAGGTTACACTAGTGATCAAAAGTAGTCATCATGTATGCTGTCATGGAGGTTACATTTAAAAATAAAAAATACGAGAGAGGCTACATGTTTTCCAAACTGTCATCAAGAAAGTGAGAAGCTTGAAGTGAGACTAACTATTTACAATACTGTTAAGGGAGAATGGACTCACATCCAGAATGTGTCAACAACTGCTAAGGCTTCACAACTCTTTACTAATATGTTTCTGGTAAAATAGTACCTATGGTGGTTTGAATAAAAATGTCCCCATAGGCCCATAGGGAGAGGCTCTATTAGAAAGTGTACCCTTGTTGGAGTAGGTGTGGCTTTGTTGGAGGAAGTGTTTTGTGGGGAGGAGGGGGCTGTGAGGACTCAGAAGCTCAAGCCACTTCTACTGTGGCTTAGTCTCTTTCTGCTGCCTGCAGATCCAGATGTAGACCTCTCAGCTCCTTCTCCAGCATCCTGTCTGCCTACATGCCACCATGACTCCCGCCATGATTGTCAGGGACTAAACCTCTGCACTGTAAACCATCCTCAGTTAAATTTTTTGCATTTTAAGAGTTGCTGTGGCCATGCTGTCTAATCACAGCACTAAAACCCAAATAGGACAGTACCCTAACTCATATTTCAGCTCTGTTTTATTCATTTATTCATTTAGAAACCTCTTCCCAACTCTGCCACATTGGCACAATAAAGATAAGCATGCAGCAGAGTTATTCTGGATTTTGAAAACAGATATTTATCTTGTTTTGCCTTCAAAAGAAAGTCAAGGACAGATAATCTAAGATATGGGAATACAGGGCCATGGAGGAAACAGTTTGGATAAAACTATCTAAATAGTTTTCAAAGAGATAAAGATGAAGGACGAACTGCAGTGACAGTTTCAAAGAAGCCTAAACCTTGGTGTCAAAACTACCACAGGCAGAGAGAAGACAGCACCAATACAGTCCCTGAAGCCATTCTGGACAGCTTACCTTTTCATAACCAACTTTGTCTTCTAGTAAGAAAGAAAAGGTTTTGAGTTTTTCTTCCATACTCAGTAGCTCTCTTGTCATTGTAGACATATTTAAGTATATACTTTATCATGAAACTTGCTAAAATGCAAGTTTAATATTAATTACATTTAGATCTCTTCCAGTCATCCAAAATAATTAGCAATGTGCACTAAATGTGGTTTCTTAATAGAATGAGAATTATTTTTTACCCCTATACAAGAGAGTTAAACACAACTTTCACAGTGCCATTATGGCTGTAGCCTGCGGACCACTAACATTTGGCCCTTTAAAACACTGGCCTTCTGTAACATCCAGCATATATCCACTAAGAATTACCAGAACAAAGTGGTAAGTTTGCTCTCCATTCATTCATTATATTCTTGTGGCATTTGAGGAACTCTGAATGTAGATTATTCATTTGCTCAAAGGTTAAGAGTGACAGTGGGAAATGGGAAAGTGAAAAAGAAAAGCTGAGAACAGAAAAGGTGAGGCGCAAAGGTGGCACTGATGAGCAAGATTCAAGCCAGAAGAACACATCCATTTGCACCAGGTGAGCCACATATTTAGCTACATCTTCTAGTTCACTGAAATAACAGAGAGGAATTTATCAATCCCATGCATATAAGAAAATACACCTGATTTCCAGGAGAAACAAAATGAGATTAAAGACTAATATTTCCCATGAGTTCTCACAAAGGGAACATTGTATTACATAACATGCTTTTAGAAAATAAAGCGGGCTTACATAATCTTGTTTCTTATAATGCCAAAACAAAGTCTTACAGGAAGGCAGTGTATTAAGTTACAGCTATACTCATCTAGCTGCTATTGCTCTGGCAGAAGTTGTGAGCTTCATATCTCTCTGGTAATCTACAGTAGATGGAATTTCTCTCTGATGACATTTTAAGGTTTTGATTTTAACAGTGGATATAAGGGAAAAATAAACAGAGTTTATCAGACAAGATGTAGGGTATTTGTGTCAGTATATAAGCAAGCTGAAAGTGGTATTAACATCTTTTCCTGAAAATTGAAGACTACTGAGACAATAGGTCAGCCTCTATTCTTTGTATGGAGGGAGGCCAAAAGCAAGATATTGGGATCTTTTGCAAGCCACAGGCTCTATTTAGTATAGTACCACCATGGATCACTGAAATACAGAAAATAATATATACTATCAGTTGTTTTACTTAGTATAATGTGACTTCCTGGTTGTTCTTCGATGATGAACCTGGCAAACTAAGTATGTATATCGTTGATTTAATTTTCCAACAGAGGATTAAATACAAACAATTCAATAGTTCAGGGTGGTAGGGAGTCCACAAGTCCCTGCACGATTAAGTAGAAAGATAATTATTTTAGTATTAAGAGCATCTCCAGTGTTTGCCATGTTGTCTACAGACAATAGGATGCTTCTCCTCACCAAAAGGTGAACTAGTGATTGCCAACCTCATGAAATTTGAAATACCTGATGAAATTAGTAACCAATCTCCCAAAGGTCCATTTTCACAAGATTTATGAGAGTGAAACTCCATAGAATCTATTTCAAGGTCAAACTTGGTGTATTTATTTATTTGTTTGTTTATTTATTTACTTATTTATTTAATGTGTATGTTTTGTGGCACTGGGGTGTTGAGCTCAGGACCTTCTCTATGCTAGGCCAGTCCTCTACCATTGAGATGTATCTGAAGATCCAGTTTTGTTTTTGAGACAAGGTCTCTTTAGGTTGTCCAGGTTGAGCTTAAACGTCGTCCTCCTACATCATCCTACTGATGAGATAGGATTACAGGTAGGTGTTACCATGCTGTGCTACAAGGTCAAACCTAACTGTATGGAATTTCTATTTAGGGATTTAAACAACCCAGGAAAGCCAATAAAAATACAGTAATTTCTCCCTGTCAAAAGATTCTCTATAAAAAGATACATTTGCAAAGTGGTTCAGAGCTGCCATTTCCTGACATGATCTAATTATGCTTTGGATTTGTGGAGGATCAAACAGACAACTAGCGTGGACAGAATCTTTACTGATCTAAAGACCTGAGTAGTAAACAAGACACACTACATGCTGGATGTAGCCAGAAACACCATGCTGACTGAGCTGATGGAAGTCTTTGAATATTCTAGTAGATACATTTGGGACTTTGCAGCAGAATCTTTATCCCCAGACATAAATGACAGCTCTGAAACAAGCCATACTGTTTACAACCTCTCAGAGACCAGCCTTGGGTTCTATTTAAAGGACAGACTGAACTTGGTATATGGAGCTGAGAGAACAAGGCAGCTTAAATGTCATCTGCCTGGGTCTAAAATTCTTCCCTTATTTAAAATCTTCTGTCACAGAACTTACTTACTGAGTCCATGATAGTGGATCTAAATTAAATTTATATTTAACAAATGGGCTCCCTTTGATTTTTTATTTTCTTATACAAGCCAGTTTTTTTCACTTCTATTTTGTCTAATTTGGGGGAAATACCTTTACTTTTTAAGTTGTTGTTGCTGTTGCTGTTCTAGGAGTCGAACCCAAGGATTAATACAAGCTAGGCACATCATGTCTGTCTTTCTTCCTTCCTTCCTTCCTTCCTTCCTTCCTTCCTTTCTTCCTTCTTTTTTCTTTCCTTCCTCCTCTCTCCCTCCCTCGCTTACTCTCTCTCTTCTTTCTCCCCTTCCCTCTCCCCTCTCTCTTTCCCCCTCTCTCTTTTTCCTCCTCTTCCTTTTCCCCTCCCCCCACTCATTTCAGTTTTGGGACAGAGTTCCTCCAAGTTGCCCAGGCAGGCAAAATATAACATATATATTTTTTAGTAAGTACAAAGATGCAGTCAAATAGCAATGGTATTTACATCTTGACAATTGTAATATATTGTCTCCCTTTCAAGAGTATGCAAAAGATTGCAGACTCTCAGACTTTTCTAGACTGAACATTATTACCATTATATAAAGGAGAGGCAAGTCTGGGGATTCACATCTGCATCCCCAGCACTTGAGAGGTTAATGCAGAAGGACTGATGAGAATTCAAGACCAGGCCAGGCTACAGAGTTAGACCCAGCCTCATAAAACAGAACCAAAACAAAAAAATCAGAAAGGGGACATTTCTATTGTTTCAGCTACTCAAAAGGCTGAGGCAGGAGGATCATTAAAATTCAGGAGTTAGAGCCCAACTGGACAATAGAAAGAGAGAGTGGGAGGGGATTGATTCTCTGACCACAAGAATTACTCATCTTTGTTTTCATGTTTGTCAAGAAATTATGAACGTCCTTTCCATAGTGACTCTTAGATGTGAATCTTCTGATGTGTGATATCCAGAGAAGACAAGGGGAGCCAAAGGCCAACTGAAGAGAACTCTCCATTTTTGGTGACTGTTTTGTGTCAACCTGTACTATAGACTGTACATGAACTATCTTAACCTTCAAAAACACATGGAGATGTGCAGAATTTAGTGTTGTCTGACACTACAGTATGCCTCTCTTCTCTGCAATTTGTTTTTCCAAGGAAGTCATGTGAGGGTATTTGGATACTGACATAACTGTCTTATAAAGGCAACTGTTATCTGAACCTAGTATGACATTTAATAAGAAAACAACAGCATCTTCTGTCTTAAATATTCCTTACTTTTTGACTAATGAGCACTGGAGCATCTTTCAAAGATGAGGCCCATTTGGCAGCGTCATTCACATCAAATGTCTTGGCTCCTCTGAGAAGCTTTTCTTTCAGGAGAACTGCATGCTGACCACTCCCTCCTCTTATGAATGAAATAACATCATCTATGATGTTAGCACTGGTGATGTTTACTGGAAAAGAAACAAGGAAGACTTGAAGAAAGAAGTGTTTGCATCTCTGTGGTCAGTTATCTGGATGGCATTTGATAAATGTGCATTGCATCTTTTTAGGATAGCTTAGTGTATTTGATGAACTTCAATTGTAAATATTACACACATAAATCTCCCATCCATAACCTAATAGGGGAATTTTTCTCAGTAGTCAATTTATGGATTTCAATTATCTTTGTTTTGAAAAAAAATGGTGGTACAATCAATCCAGGTGGATTGATAACTTCTAGCTCATCTTATAAATACAAGTACATATAGGGAAATTGACATGACTTTGAATGTATTATATATATGTATATATATACATATATATATGAAAACTTACCTTCATAATTATATTGTATATAATATGCTTTAAATTATCTTGATATTATAAAGATATTAGTGTCTAAAAAGAATGAGATAAAAAATAAATTTGTTCCCACTCCCAAATCCTATCCCCTTTCTCTGTTGTGCTCTAAACTGAACCACTTTAAACACTACTAAAACTTTTAGAATCATGAAGTTTTAAAGGAATCACATGATGTTTTTGTTTAGCCTTTGTCATTTCTACAAATGAGAAATCTGAAATGATGTGGTGGAATGACCAGTGTAAGGTCACTCAATTAACCTAACATAAGATGGTAATTCCAGAGTGCTGTCCCTTTTGTTAGTCCCAATCATATCCACAAGTAGACAGACTTTAAGCAATGTCCAACTCTCCCTTCTATAGTTCCTTAACTATCACTTGGCTCTTTAGAGATGAATCAGAAAGAAGTGTTTTTATTTCAAATAAAAATCTTAACTAAAAATAATTTCAAGTATTTCTGATCAGAGGATGACGTGAAGTCTCCAGTGCATTTTCATGCTTGCAAATTTGCTCAAAAATCAGTAAGAGAAGGGTACACTTAGAACAAAGACATCTAGAGTTCCAAAAAGGCATTGTGCTGGTTGAGGATCTAAGGAAAGGTGAGCTAATCAAGCCAAGTTGAAAGTAGGCCTGGGAAGGTAGCTTAGGTCTTGTTCTTTGTAATGGACACAAGGTCCTACATTAGCCCACTGAAAGCCAGGAGAAGAAGAAACTTATCTTCCAGAAACTTTTCCACCTGTGACTGGTTTTCTGTCATCTCCATAAAAGATACACAAATAATGATGAGTAACAGCCCTTGAGCTGTGTGCCTCCCTTGCGCAGTAGTGACACTGACAAAGATGTGTCTATAGACTACTTGTTCTCACAGTGATTGAGGGAAAATAAAACAGTTCTTAAGTGATTCTGAGTTTTCTAACTGAAGATGGTAGTGCCCTGATTGATGTGGGAGGTCCTTCTGTATGCTGCAAATTTGTGTTGCTTTTATTGGTTGATGAATAAAACTCTTTTGGCCAATGGACAGGCAAAATATAGCTAGGTGAGAATTCTTATCAAAGATGCAGAAAGAAAGAAGGTAGAGTCAAGGAGATGGCATTGTAGCCACCAAAGGAGTAACATGCTGGAGCATCACTGGTAAGCCACAGCCTTGTGGCAATGCACAGATTAATAGAAATGGGTTAATTTAATTGTGAGAGCTAGTCAGTAGATGCCTGAGTCATTGGTCAAACAATTATATTTGATATTAAATTAAGCCTCAGAGTGTTTATTTCATAAGCCATTGAGGGGATCCAGAGTGGGAGAAAAACTGGTCCAAGGAGACCAACGGGACAAAGAAAAACTTCAAACTACACCTGGTCATGAGAGGCAATGCTCTTAGCTATTGGCTCTGCCTTTCTCAGCATAACTAACCACTCCATACTTACCTTCTTTAGCACCACCTGTCTTTATGCATTCATTGTTATTAGCATTTGCTGTAAGTGAAACTCCATCAAGGATGGTATGTGAAGGGATATATAGAGACCCATCCAGTCCAAACCCAAGACACTTCTTTACATCATTCAGTTCAACACCTGTGTTATAAATTCATATGAAAATTATTTGATATAGTTTACAACATCAGAAATAAACTCTAACTTTACCATCATGTTACAAATATACATATGTTCCTTGACACCATTATTGACTCAAAGGTAACATGATTTCTTCCTTCCCTTGTCTTTTTATTGATTACCTAGTAGCATCCTTTCACTTGGCTTATCACCTTAGTATCAAAGGATGTATTAAATTTACCACCTGTTTGAAAGGGATATAGGCCAGTCAACGTGGTTATAGTAAAGTCCTTTGTGAAACCCAAGGGAGGCAGCAAGGTCCAACATGCACTGAATGATTATTTTGTGCCTCACATTTTTCTAAACATCTTGCATGAGTTAAATAATTTAATTCTCACATTAACCTTATGAATTATCACTCAATTTCAATTGAGTCTACAGAATCACTGACTAATACCCAATTGTTTTGGACAGATGCTTTGAATATATAGCAACTTAATTTTGGCTCATAGTATGAATGCTCACAAATAACAATCTTGGAAGTTAACTCACTGTGGTTGGTATATGCGTATTCAAGCAGTTATAGCCCTAAATTCATTGAAGTCTGTAATTTATTATCTCTTTTCTTCATATATATATATGTAAATGTTACATAGAAAAATAAATATATAATAAATAATAACAAATATATGTTATATATAAAGAAAAGGACAATAAAAATAAATAATAGAAAATAAAAAGATATATATATGTATATATATACATATATATATATATCTGCATACATATACCTTACACTTATACCATTATATAGTACCACCACATCCTGCTATGGTTATGACTTATTAACACAGTCATTTTGAGTTTACTTTATTCTTTTTATTTTTATGAAACAGTGTGTGTGATATCCAGGCTGGCTTCAAGCTCCTGGTCTTTATAAAGCCTCTTCTAGTCTCCTAAGCAGCTGGGATTACAGGCATATATTGCTGTATCTGACTGTTCTACTTTATTCTTGAAAGGAATAGATGAACCTTTAGGTCCAAAGCATCTTCCAACTATAGAGAATGCATGGATGAAGCACTATGTTACACCTTCCTCATAGTTTTGAGTATAACAATCTTATTCAACATGACCTCAAGTAAATCACCCCTGTAAGATTATAATGATCACCATATAAGGCAAAACAAATTTTTCAACCTGACTGTAACACATTATATTTGTACAATAATATTTGTTCTTCCTCCCTCTCAGAGGCAACATTTA